CGTGCAACACTCAGAGAACTCAGGCAACGCCAGGCCCTTGCCAAGGTCAAGAGGGCTGAGAAAGCGCAGGGCCCTTGCTTGCTAGGTATTTTCTGGATGGGTCTCAGAGTGGCCCCCCTTGCCCCTTGGCGAGTCTGCCGTCTTCCCTGGGTGAGCAGGCCAGGGCACTCTGGGCCTGCACCTGGCCGTGCAGAGCAGGGCCCGCCCTGCACACCTTCACAGCGGAGGCCAGGCGCCGGTCCCTCTCCTCCAGCTGCTGGTGCTCGTTCTGCAGCGTGCTGCCCCTCTGCAGCAGCTTCTGCTTCTCCTCTTCTTTGACTGCGGAAGAGAAGGCGTCCTCCGTAAGCACCAGGGAGCTGGGGCCGGGCCAAGGGAGAGTCGGGCAGGCGCAGGACCTGGAACTCGTCCTGGCCCCATGTCCCTGCAGGAGCAGGGGCTGTGGCCACATGCACTGGGCCAGGAGTGCCCTCCTCACCCATACAGGAACAGCCCCAAGCGCCGGACCCTCTGGATTTGGCCGGGAACAGTCTGGACTCAGCATGCCCTTTGTCCCCCAAGCTGCCTCACCTGTCTTGTGGGTGACGTAGGAGTGCACGATGGCCAGCATCCCAGTCCAGGGCACACCTTCGTCCTTCTTTAAGGCCTGGGACAGATGGGAAAGAGAGTGGCAGCAGGACCCGGGGGGATGGCGGCCATGCGGGTCTTGGTGTGGCACAATGAGGTTGCCAGGAGGAGGTTAGAGCCGTGAAGGCAAGGACTCTGGGTCTTGGGCTTCCTTGTCCAACATCCAACTTCCACATGCAGATGAAGCAAAATGGAAAATGCTATGGCTCGGGTGGCCAGGGGTCCTTTAGTCCTCAAAGTGACAGCCTTGCTTTCCAACACTTTAAAGAGATCACACGTGCCCGTGCGCCGGACATCGAATAAGGAAAACGGAAGGAACACGGATGCTTTTGAATGATGGTGTGGGCAAAGAACATTGAAGGTACCCTGGCCCGCCAAAGGAGCAAACACATCTGTCTCGGAATGAGTACAGCCAGGATGCTCCTTAGAGGGCAGGATGAGGTGACTTTGTCTCATGTACTTTGGACATGTTGTCAGGAGAGATCAGGGTCTGGAGAAGGACCTCATGCCTGCTGAAGTAGCGGGGCAGCGACAGAGGAAGGCTCTGGACAAGATGGACAGACCAGTGGCTGCCGTCGTGGACTCCAGCATAGGAACAATTGTGAGGATGACGCAGGACCGAGCAGGTTTCGTTATGGTGCACATCAGGTTGCTATGGGTCAGAACCAACTTGATGATACCTATCTATCCATCCATCCATCCATCCGTCTACCTAGTAATGAATCCATCCATCCAAGGGTATCTTAAGGAGTATCAACAATATATTGAACACTACAATACACAGCGTGTAGAATCTTCTAACGCTGACATTCGAGTGTTTTCATAGAAAAAGACGATGTACACATATTGTTGAATCTGCTCTGTAAACTTGCGCTCTGACGACAGCGGACAAAAAAGAAAAGGACAAGTGGCAACCGAGGGACAGATCCTGGCTGGTACTGTGGGAGACGGTTATGGCTTGGGGGTGGGGGGCACAGGCTGAGATGTGGCTCAACCCCCAGCAGTGCCCAGGATGCCCCCACGGGGAGCGTCCATTGGGCTGGGGTAGGGAAGGGAAGCACCACTGACACCCAGGCTCCCCTAAGTCTGCCCCAGGCTGGGGACTCCCAGGCAGCACAGCCGAGAGAGCTGCCTCCAGGAGACCCGGCTCCTACCTTCTGCTGGCACTGGGGGCACACCCAGAGGCCCTTGGGCGCGGTCTTGAGGGGCGGGTCCAGGCAGCTGAGGTGGTAGGCTCCGGGGCAGGTGCCGCAGGGCTGGAGGTTGGCCCCGCGTCTGCAGACTCCACAGAGCTCATCATGGATGATCTCGCCCTGAGAGGGAGAGAGAGGGGGACCTTCAAGAGTCTTCATTGGTGGGTTCCAGGCAGCTGCCATTGCCACTCCGGGGCCCAGCTCTGGGCCAGCGCCCTCCTGCAGGGAAAGGGGAGCCGGTCCGGAGCATCCCAGGGAAAGGCGAAAGCTGCTGGACGCCCCCGGTTCTGGACCCCCGTTATCACCTTAGTGGGTGGTAACCTGAGCTGAGCCTGGCCTGGCTCAGGTGTTCTGCTCCTGCACTCCTAGACCCGAAGGGGTAACATGTGTGCAACAGAGGTCACCTGCCAGCCCAGGACACAGGATCCCAGTGTCCAGGCTTCAGTGAGGGGGCTCAGAGATCTTCAGCCATATTTCCCACAAGAGCCTGGACTCAGGGAGGGGCGGGGAGGGGCGTGAGGGATACCTTTGGTTCTCTGGCCAGCACTCCTGATGTCTTTTCACAGTGCCTCCCTCCATTGAGCAGGGTACCCTAACAGCCAGGTAAGTTACCCTAGTCCTGATGGACAGCTCTGCCCCGTGGACAGTGACACCAGCCTGGGGGCCAAGCTATGTGTGTCAGAGCTGCAGACTGGCTTCTTCCTTTGTTCCAGATGAGAGCAGTCAAATGTCCCCTCCACAGTGTCCCTGGTATTTACACACTCCCACTAGCAGGGAGCTCACTACCTGACCCTTGGGGTGAGGAGGGAGTGTGGTTCTAAGCCTCCATTTCTGTATCCTGCCACATGGGAGCCACCGCGACCACGCCTGCATGCCTAGCCGGCTCTCTACCGCGTGTCAGCGTCTCCAAGGCTCATGGGAAGGCAGAGGCGGCAGAGAGAGACCAGAGATCGCATCTGGAATGACCCAGGCCACGAGGCCACAAGGTCACATAGGCTGCCCAGGTCTGCCCTTGAAGGAAAGGTCCCTGGTCACACCCCTACTATCAGGGCCCAGAGAGGGCGAGGTGTTGGCTGAGGTCACACAGGGACCCAGGGACCCAGGACCCAGCAGGGAGTTAAGGCGCTAGCTGCCCAGTCACCGTGCCTGCCACACACTCTGGTCACCATGGAAACATGGATGCTGCCTGGAATTGGCGAGACCAGCCTGTGGCTTCAAATTCTGAGAGCAGAGACCAGCAAAGGGAATTCCCCAGTGGCCACTGTGCTGGGCAGCAAGGTCCTGCCGTGTGCCCGAGCCTCCCAGGAGGGAGTAAGACGCTGGGACTGCGGAGTCCAGCCCACTTGGGAGAATCAGCAGGTCAGCTTGGCCAACGCTCCAGGGACATCTATTTGAGCTGTGGAAGCTGCTGGGTCACTGTGTCCCCAGCAATTGGCAGGGACAGCTGCCGCTGGAATCCATGAATCGAGCTCTTCAGTGATACCTTGCTGCCTAACAGACTGGGAAAGGTGTCTGGAACATTCTGGCACTGAGGACAGGGCTCAGAGGTTCTGGGCTCAACTCCAGGGCAAGATCACTGGGGTACTGGCCATCCGGCCTTGCCAGGTGTGGTCTCCTGAAAGCATGCACCTCCCACCCAGGTGCACGGTCGAGGGGCCACATACCTTCCAGCAGGGCTCCTCATTGGCTAGCACAGAGAAGAAGGACGGAGAAGGCATTAGTGGGCAGTGGGGCAGCACAGGCCAGGGTATGAGGCCATGAGACCAAGGGGCAGGGCCCTTACCCAGAGTATGCTGGGAGGCCCAGGAGGCCAAGATCAGGTCCTCACCCAGGGTATGCTGGGAGATCCCTGAGGCCCCAGTGACACCTGAGTTCCACCAGGGCATGATGGGAAGCCTGTCATGAGCACCCAGTGGGAATGAAGGGAGGAAGGGCCTTTACCTGGATTGAGGCTAGACCATGGACAGGCTCACCACCACCTGGGCTGTCTGGGGAGCAGGTGAAGGGGCCATCTCTTGGGAACTCAGCAGAGGTGGCCAACTAGCCCACCCCCTGGGTCGTAATCCACTCCAAGTGTTCTAAGTGACCGCACTGTCTCAGGACAATTTGCCTGGGCTTCCTGTCAGATTCTGGAGGTGAACTGACTAGTCGGGCGGGGTACCCAGTAAGCATGGGAGGCAGGAGCTTACTCATCCGCGGTGCAGTGACACCACATCTTTGCTTAGGCATTTTCTGCTCGTCCCAAAGCCAAACCCACTGCAGACTCACAGAGACCCTGTGGGACCAGGCAGAGCTGTCCCTGAGGCTTCCTACGGCTGGAATCTGTAGGGCAGCCTCTTTCTCCCAAGGTGCAGCTGGTGGGTTTGAACCGCTGGCCTTTCAGTTAGCAGCCAAGCACTTTACCACTGCGCCACCCGAGTTCCTCTTTCCGCCCATGGGAGTACTGACTCTTTCTGAGCGGGACGCCTCTGGCTCCTGTCCTTCTCCAAGAGGACTGTGGCTGGGAGGGAGGCCTGGTGACCATGGGTGCAGCTGTCCATGAGAAGTCTGGCTAGTGGTGGTAGTGAGGACAGCCCGGTCCTTTGCCAGAAGGGAGGGAGGGAGGTTGCAGGCCTGGGTGGCACTTACCTCTCGCTGTGAGGAACAGGGGGTTGTTGAGATAGTTGGATGCCAGCCGTTTCCTCTGAGACAGAACACAAAACAACAAGACCTGGGATTGGCGAGAGCTCCCATTTGACAGCACTGTCTGCCCTCTGCCCTCTCAGGACCTGCCGGCACTGGCTCCCCAGCTTGGGGGGTGGCTCCCCTGGAGAGGCCGACCAAGGTAGAAGAAGGGACAACGTGGGGAGTCACAGGGGCAGTTGGAGAGCAGGCACAGGAGGGAGTAAAAATGGTGTGGGCACATCCATCTGATGCAGTATGGCACCTGAGACCCCAAATGAAGACAGGTGGGTAATAATGTCAAGGTGTCTCCTGCATCTCAGTGCTCAGGAGTCAGGTGGGCCTTGCAGTGTCTCTCCTAGCCCCCACGAAACAGCATGTTGTCCAATGGGTCCAAGGGACCCTTAAAGAGGCCCTGTTTGGCGCTAGGGGTCACCCTCTGAAGCTGGAGGTGACTGTCCCTCTAGGTGGCTGCGAGGGGTCACCCTGGTATGATGGTGAGAATGGTGGCGATGAAGTTGGTGTTAATGGTGGCGGTGGTGCTGACAGCGGGGATGCAGGTGATCACGAGGCTGCTTGTGGTACTGATAGCGGTGATGGTGGTGCTGCTGTTCATGAAGGTGATGGTAGTGCTGGTGGCAATGATGATGATGATGGCAATAGGATGCCCGTGATGATGGTGGTGGTGGTGATGGTGGTCTATCCTGAATCACCATGATCCTAGGGTAGAAATGCCTCTGCAGGTTTCTAAGATGAATTCTTTACCATAGTAGAAAGCCTCATCCTCTCCACACAGAGCAACTACTTGTTTTGAACTGCTGACTTTGAAGTTAGCAGCGCAACATGTTACCACTACACTAGCAAGGCTCCTTGGTGATGATACTGGTGATGCTGGTAATGGTGATGATAGCGGTGATGGTGATGATGGCGGTGGTGATGATGGTGATGGTGGTGACTGTAATTGGGGTATAATGGAGGCAGGAACTTCAGTGGTCTGCTCTACCTCCTCCTCCCACCCCATGCTTCTCCGTGGGGTGATTTTAGCTGGACGCGTCTGGCTCCTCTCCATCCATCCCTCCCTCCCTCCTCCATGGCCCGGCTGTGCGCAGCCCATCCCTCTGGACCTTCTCTGTGGCTTGGCTGAGCACACTGGGCACCTGTACGATGACTAGGCCGGCTCAGTGGGGATCAGGGCCCCGGGCCCGGCCTGGCTCAAGGTGGAGAAGCCGGATCCACTAGAGTTGGCGTACTTCTCTCCCACTACTCTGATGAGACGGGTATCCTGTGGCCTCAATCTGAGTGAGTGCAGGAGCTTAGGGCCCTCTGCTGCCCCACCCCGCAGGCCTGGCACCCACCTCAGTCTCCAGGAGGTGTGGGCAAGCAAGTGCAGGGACTCAGGGCCCTCTGCTGCCCCACCCCGCAGGTCTGGCACCCACCTCAGTCTCCAGGAGGTGTGGGTAAGCAAGTACGGGGACTCAGGGCCCTCTGCTGCCCCACCCCGCAGGCCTGGCACCCACCTCAGTCTCCAGGAGGCCACTGTAGGCAGGGTTGGCCGTGCTCCTCCTCTTCCGCTCTTGGCGCTTGCTCTGAATTTCTGGAAAGGCAGATGCAGGGCGCTGGGCCCTTCCTGCCCCTCCAGCCACCCCACCAGGCTCGCCTTTTGCCCCATGATGCTCTGCTGCCTGCAGCCTCACCCACAGCCCATCACTCAGACCCCAGGGGCCCTTTGCAGTCTCCAGGGACCACCTGTTCAGGTGGATGGAATGGCAGGGTCCAGAATCCCGGGGCCCTCTCCCGGGGGTGGGGGAGTGTCCCTTCTGTGCGGTCACCGTCTCTCTCAGGGACAACAGACTCAGGCTGGTTGAGCAGCAGGGCCGGCGAGGCTCCCAGCTCTGGGGAGGGCCAGGCATATACCTGTTGCTCAGAGTGATGACGCCAACAGCCGGTCTTCCCATGGGGCTGCTGTGTCCCGAATCACCTACGGTGAGAATGGTTCTGCCCACTGACCAAGTCTCCTCTTTTTCTCTTTTTGCTTTGGCTGCCAGGAAGCCCTAAGCCAGTGGTTCTCAACCTTCCTAAGACCGAGACCCTTTAATACAGTTCCTCATGCTGTGGTGACCCCCACCCTAACCATAAAATTATTTTCATTGCTACTTCATCACTGTCATTTTGCTACTGCTATGAATTGGGTGACTCCAGTGAAAGGGTCGTTCGACTCCCAGAGGGGTCGCGACTCACAGGTTGAGAACCGCTGCTCTAAGCCAAACACTTGGTGCTGCCTTCAAGGCTGGGCTAAGAGCCCGGCTAACCACAAGGCCAGCCATTCGAAACCACCAGCCGCTCCGAGAGAGAACGACGAGGCTTTCAACTCCCGTAAGGATTTACTGTTTCAGAAGCGCACAGAAGCGGTTCCACCCTGTCCCAGAGGGTTCACTAAGAGTCAGCATCGACTCGGGGGCTGTGAGCTTGTTTTTTAAGCCTTTCCTACAGGATTCAGAAAGACGCCCTTAGTGGTGCGGTGGATAAAGCACTGAGCCACTAGCCGAAAGGTCGATGGTTCAAACCCACCAGCCACATCTCAAGAGAAAGATGAGGCAGTCTGCTTCCGTGTGGATCACAGCCTTGGGAACCCCATGGGAAAGTTCTACAAGTTCGGGGTGAGCTGGGATTGGCTCTATGGCAGTGGCTATGGTTGTTGGGTTCAAAGGACAGGGTGTGTGGGGTGGCATCTCTGACCCTCTGCAGAATGGGTACTTAGAACATCCGAGAGGAAGTGTTCAAAACAAGGGCTGTCGCTTTAAAAAAAAAAAAGGTCCCTTGCTGATGACCAACCAGGAATGTAGCCTTCAGTATGCAAGGCACTGCGAAGAAAATCCAAATCTTCCCAACTGCACCCACAGGTCGCATCAGGACTCACGGAGCAAAGGTTGAAGTGGCCAAGGACTTCATCTTGCTCGATTCCACAATCAACGCTCAGGGGAGCGGCAGGCGAGAGATCGAAGGACCCATTGCACCGGGTCAACCTGCTGCACAAGACCTCTTTCAAGTGCTGAAAAGCCAGGAGGTGACTTGGAGGCCTTAGGGTGCGCCTGACCCAAGCCATGGTGTTTCCCATGGCCTGGGATGCATGTGGAAGCTGGACCTCGAAGAAGGATGACCCAAGAACCGAGGTCTTTGAATTGTGGTGCTAGAAAGAATACCGGAAGTGCCAATAGGCCGCTAAAAGGGCAAACCAATTTGTCTCGGAAGACGTGCAGCCAGAGTGTTCCTTAGAGGCAAGATGGCAAAGACTTCATCTCATGCTTTCAGGAGGGGCCTGGGTGTCCTGGAGAAGGCTGTCATGCTGGGTCGAGTGGGAGGCCGGCGCAGAACCGGGCGGTGTTTTGCTCTGTGGCACATGGGTTGCTTTAAGTTACAACCGCCGCCACCATGACTTAAATCATAACCTCAGGGGAGATGGCCGGTTTGGCTCCAGACCCCGGTGATACTGCAAGGCCACTCGTTGTCCATGGGCGTGCAACAGCACGATGAGAAAGCGTGACACACTGTGACCAACACGTGACACGGCTGCCGAGGGAGGGCGTGCCGTTGGGAACACGACGCCGCGGCAGGAACCTCACATTGGTAAGGACACAGTTTCCGCAAAGCTCGGGCGAGCAGAGGGCACCCTACAAGGGTGCCGGCTGGTTCCAGCGATGGAGACTGTATGGACGGAGAAGCGCCGGAGCCTCAACCCCACTCAAGGCAGCCAAGCTAAAGGACAAAACTATCCTAGAGTTGCAGATGTGGACACTGGGGTTCAGAGAGGGGACAGGAGTGGGTGTGGAGCTGATGATCTCGGAGCTGGGCATAAGTGCGCAGGTGTCTTCTTAGGAATGATGACAACCCACCTGCCTACCTGGCCTCAGGGACGCGTGGCTCTCCCAGAGTGAGACAGTTAAGGTTTATTGTGCCAACCTGGCCGATGAACACATGAGGGGTTAATTGAAGGGTGGAGAGATAAATGGCTTGGTGAGCCTTGCCTTTCTAGTTCTCGGGTCTTTTGCTTTCTGATGGTCGCACCAGGGTGCAGCTGCCTTAGCCAGTTCCTTGCTTCAGCTGGCAAGACTCACTTCCTCCAAGACATCCCTGAGGAGAAGCCAC